AAAACTCGGAACTGCCCAGATACTATGGAAAGCTGTTTGGAGGTTTCTCGACTACTCCTAGGTAGCTACCAAAGGACATAAAAATATTGATTCAAAAGGACACCTGCACCCCTATGTTTATTATTTCTGCTTCATTTACTATAGAGAAGATGTAGAATCAGCCCAAATGCCCAAAAATAGATGACTAGATTAAAATGTGGTACATATACACAATGGAATATTAATCAGCAATTAAAAAAAGATAAACACATGCCTTTTGCTGTAACATGGATGGAGCTGGAAAGGATCATGATTAGTGAAATAAGCTAGAAAGAAAAAGAAAAACACTGAATGGTTTCACTCATAGCAGCAGCATAAATGACCAGGGAAGGAAAAAAAATTGTAATAAAGTAAAAACAAACAACTATAAATCAGAGACATTTTACGGGGGTAGAAAGGGAATAGGATCAAAACTGGGGTGGGAAGAGCACACGGGACTATGGTGATGGCACATAGGTGAATTGGTGGTGAGAAGTCCATGGAGATCACAACCGAGATGAAAAAAGTGTACAAAATGAAGAACAATGTAAAATAAATACATTTAATTAAAAAAAAAGAAAATTGGGGACCACAAGCCATAGGAAATACAGATACACTTGAGGTCTGCATAGTGTAAACATAAAGCCTGTAAAATCAATATTAAAGAGGAGGCTTGGGCAGATAAATCATAAGGCAAATAAATGTGTTCATTTGCAGAGATGAGAGATGTTAACATTAGCCCGGGACTCCTTTGCATGGTGCAATCTGGTAGTTTCCCTCCCAGGCTAGGACCAGGTACAGTTCTCAAGTTAATATTGCAACCAACATGTTTTCCCAGGGTGGGTCTACCTATCAGGTCAAACCTATCCCCCAAATCAAAGGTAAAACCATGAGTAGTTTTATTTTTTTTTAATCTTATGGGATAAACACCATATGATTTCACTCATGAGCAGTATTGAAAATACATCAACTAAATGAAACAATAACACATTTTGGACTCTAAGTCCTATTAGTGGTTACCAAAGGACATGGCAAGGGTGGAGGATAGATGAATTGAGAAATAGAGGAAAATCACATGGCAGATTGGGTTTTCAGCAGTGCATATTCTGTAGTACATACACATGTTGGTTGGCAACAATGCATACCTGGAAATTATATAATTCCATGATGCAATATCATTTCAATTTTTTAAAAAAGAGAAATACACTGCAGTTGAAAGAGGAAAGCAGAGGTGCTGCCCCAGATCTCACAGCGTGAACCCCCAAAGTCCTCTGTGTGTCTGGGAGCCTGAATCTGTTCCTGTAGACTACACCCTAATCTAACCAGTCGACAGCAAAAGAATGCTAAACTCTCCAAGAACACTTGCAGTTAGATAATCCAACTTGTTTGCATGGAAGGGCCAAGAACAAATCACAGTGGTAATATAGACAGGAAATAACCTGCCCACAAGCTTCCGGGGGACATGTGCTTCTATTATGTTCACTGTGGAAAGTTCTGCGTCTAAGAGTGTGGCTATTCAGAGCAGGAGAGTTCACGCAGTAAATAAATATTGTTAAGTGAAGAATGATTATTAAAACGAAAGGACTGAGTGATTAAATGATAAAGTGGTGAGGTTTTGTACACTTGGACAGAAAGGCGGTAGTTGTGTAGTAAACATGCACCTTGGGAGAGACTGAGGCTTAAATTTTCAAAAATGATGCTCCGGCTAATTTGATGATGGACACACAGTATAATTGGGTAATCAAATTGTCATTTACCTTGCCACACTATTCATTCAAATGTCCAATATATTTTCTTTATATGCCCTATTCATTGTATGATGATAATATGCTTACTTGGTGCTTTCTTCGCAAATGACAAAACATGTTTCCCTCCCCCATGAAAAAGAAAAGGCACATATCATCACTGATAGTTCACAGATAAAGAGATTTGTGTTCAGAAATATTGAATAGCTTATAAAACCACATCAACTGTTAAGTGCCTGTTGCAGGAAGAAAATGTCAGTAAAAAGTAAAAAGCCCTTTTATATTCTAGCTTGTGTTCTCTTACCATTGCAATTGTTTTAATTAGATTTTTCAGATGAAAATCCAAAGCCTGGTGAGATTGAGTAGATCTAGTGGCTTCGATGTGATACCCAAGCCAGTTCCCTCTCAGCAAGTCAAATACCAGCCACTCAACTCCTAACCGGGGGTTTTAGTAGCACCTCCAAAATCTATGTGTGTGGAGATGACAATCAAAATTAAAATCCATAAATATATATCCCTGCTATTGTCTACTAGAACACTCAGAATCTGTGCCAGAAATGGCATGTGTACTTTTCTCAATAGCTGAAGTTTAAGCAGACACTCTGAAAAGTGAAATAGAGTGAAAATGACTTCATTCAAACATTCAAGTGCTTCTCTACACATTCATAGTGCAAAGTGTGTGGCAGGTGTGTCTTCACACTGGGGCTTGTCAGTTACTAGGAAACAAGCAAGTCACTAATCAAGAGCCACTTTTTGGTGGTTCATTGGAAAGAGAGAGGTGAGATTAAAAAAAAAAAAACTAATTTTTCTTCCCTTCCCTACACACACACACACACACAGAGCTGCTGATTTTCCAACTCCTTTGATAGTTTATATTCCATGTTGGATTTGACTGACATAAACTCATGACTGAGAGGCAGGTTTCCTCTGAGCTAAAGTTGGTTTCCATGGTGCTGAATTGTCCATTTAAAATTATGGTTCTTCACCACACACAGGTGGTTCCCATGCCAGCCAGCAAGGGTCTCAGAATCCCAAGGACTCACACAGTTAGATGGCAAGTGAACAGCTCCTTGCCATGCCATTTCACTTGATGCATTCTGCCTCCAGTTAGAAAGGAAATCTCATTATCTGTGGCATATATTTTAAGGTCAGTGAATCACGTTGCATTGTTTGCACTTTGAAGACTACTTTTGAGGGGAAGAAAGTGATTGGCTGGAACTTGGAGAAATAGATGTGTGAACAGATATACCTTAGAACATTCTTTTCCACCTCTTTCTCTCCAGGAATCCCCTTTGGGGGATTCAGAGGAGAATAAACGCTGCCTTACGTTGGCTACATGGGGTAGGGATATTGGCTAGCAAACCTGCTTCTAGCATGTCTAGCTTTGAATTTTTTAAAGTGTACAATATATGAACAGAACGCCAGTAATGTTAATAGCATTGGAAAATGCAATGCACACCTATCAATTATTTTGTACTATTCAAAAGAATGCTCTTACTGGAATTTGTGGGATTTAATGTATCACAAAACTCGCATCTACGGTGACATATTTTATTTGTGACTGGTAACTGGTATATTTTCAGGCAGATGAGTATTATGAGACTACTTTCATGATGTCTAAATGACCTAATATAGTTCACATTTTCATGATCCATTCCCTACTAGAAGATATGTGTGTAGTAACATTTAGTATTTGGGATCTTCCTTTGAAAATTGGATTTCCCACCTAGAGAAAACGCATTTCAGTGCAGTAAACTTTTTTTTTGTTTTTTTTAATGAGAATATACAGTGACCAGGTCCTGAATCTTTGGAAAGAGGTTCTCTAACGGCAGGTCAGAAGCAGCAGTTACCAAGACACCTCAGTCACTTGGGTGCTCTGGCTAGTTTGTTCTTGCTAGTTTCTGCTAGTTTCCTGCTAGTTTCTGGAAAAGGTGACTTCAAAGTGCCCACGGCTCAGGACTTCACTCCTGCTGCACACAGTGGAGACCACAGCACCAGGTGTGTGGTGTCACAATTTCACCTGTGGCTCTCTCTTGATTTTATCTTAAAAAGCTCCATTGGTTGGTGAAGGCCAAATTGAGACTAAGAGAACAGAAATTGGCTTTATTTTGAATGGGAGACTGTTAAGGGAGATGAAGAGCTGTTTCGGCCCAAAGAACAGCCAGGAAAGCTCAGGGCTCACAGTGCAAATCCGGGGGAGGGATCATGGCCACTTAGGTACTTGGGACCCTCCGCTACTACCAAAGTCCCCCCAAATCCACCGCCACTGCCTCCACTGTAGGTGTCCTTGACTCCCTTTAGACGACGCTCCCAGGATTCCCACTCTCAGCCTTCCAGCATCTCATCTGTGGTGGCCCAGTCTCCTGGGGAGGTCCGTGACTGGGGACTGGATCCTGCCTAGCGGTGCCCAGGTAGGACAGACTAGACAACCAGTGGGAAACTTATGGGGTTCTCATACTGCTGACTGATCATCTCCCCACTCCGTGAGTCCTCAGCCAGAAGTCAGATCTGTGCTCTGCCCTACTCTAGTGGAACCATGAAGACTTTGGAGATTCCGTGTGGAAGAGCCTAACTTAGGGATGAAAACTTGAAGGCTCCAGTGAGCAGGTTCTGGGAACCCCCCCGGGGTCCCCGACTTCTATCCTTGAGATCTGGGTGCTTCTGCGAGCTCCCAGAGCTGGGGTCATCAGTGGTCGGGACAGCGGGTCTGCGTTGCTCCACACCACCCCAGGCGCTCAGGGAGAGTATCCGCACGTACCCAGCGCCCGCAGCCGCGCGCCCCCTCGCCCCGACCAGGATGCCAGCCCAGGCGACCGGGACCCCCACGCTCTGGTCCGCGTTTCTGGATCCCGGATTGAAAAACCCGCCAACCGCACCTCGCCGGGACGCCAGACACTCGCCTAGAGGGAAGCGATGACGCGGCTGCCCTCTCCCCAAGCCTCCGGCGCGCGCCGACCTCCGCCGCCCCCAGCGCCTTGGCCGAAGCTCCGCCCCCGGGCCCGCCCCACTGGCCAGTCAGCTCCCCCCGCGGCTTCCTCCGTGACCGAAGCCCCAGCA